CTTTATGTCATACATTGTTTTAAATTTTTTTTTACAAAATATATGAAATTTGTATTTAAAAGACAAATACAAATAATATATGTACTTAAAAAAAAAAAAAAAACAAAGAGCTGAAAATTCAAAATATGTAAAATAAAAATGATTGTATTAAACTTATAATACTATGAAACAAATGTCAACACTACTTAACTAGGTTTTGAATGATCATTGAAAAACATACATGCTAACTCCTATAAATCACTAACCGTACTAATTATATATATAACTAATTAATCGTTAACTTGTTGTTTTTTGTTTTTAAAAAAAACTTATGCGCACAGCGCTTTACACATTTACGCTCATTAGACGACTTTAAGTTAATAAACAAAGACCAAAATAATATGTCAAAGGAATCAAACGTAATTCACTAATACCGCATAAACTATAAGTATGTGTTTTCAGAGACCACGATGTGTGAGCGATTACACAAGGTTCGTTTTAAATATGCATTAATACATTATTATTCTAACATGCTGATAATACAAACGCTTTTAAATTTTCTTCTCTGAATACGATTTTTTTGATCAGTTTTTTTTTTTAAATTTCCTGTCAGATTTAACGGAAAGGAATACTAATAAAAAACAAAATGTAATAAGTATGCGACTTTTGTTCGATTTCCAATCGTGGGAAGAGTGCTGTCTTGTAATAACATTCTGAATGCTTGAAAAAATAACGACTGACATTTTATATATATAAATAAAAGTACAACATGTATTATATATACAATCATGGTTTGCAAAAACGAACGACGATTTCGATTTTTAACATTGTCTATAATATGTTATTATATCGAGAGAAAGACGAGGGTCAGCTCAATATTAAGGTCGAGAGTCTAAGATTAAATAAATACAATATATATAATATATATATATATATATATATATACAATTAAATTGCACGTGTAGGGTTTTTCTTTATATATATGATTGTGTGTGTGTGGATACATATATGTATGTATATTACACACCCCTGGGGTTCGGAAAATCCACTCAAACGGAATTGTTATATCATATAATGTAATATACATGAGTATGTAACATTAAAACGTATCTGAAAGCGATTAAAAATCATACAGAAAATATAGCGGAACATAACTGTTAGGTATAATAGCAGTTTATTTGGAATAAGTTTTAAAATAGTTTTTCGAAAATGTATTTTAATTATGAGTCTGTTGTACTGCGCATGAATACGAAAAATATAATAACTGTTAATTTATTATTAAAATATTGAATTTTCTGTTAAATTGACCAAATGAATGAAAATTCAGTTCTGAGTAATTTTCATTTTTGTGCAAATGCAGCTTATAACAAATAATCGTTCACCAATAATTCATATAAATTGTTATGCGGTCAAAAAAATAAAAATAAAATATTTAGTTTTTAGGCAAAACCATATTTCTGGCTGTAAACAGAAATCTGTGATATCGAGAAAGTTTTATTGTTATTAAAATACTTGAATTTACGAAATTGGAATTAGTGTCGGTGGATATTCTGTTTCATCGTGTTTTTCAAGTCTTATACAAACGTTGAATAATTTACTTATTATTTTAATTATTAATACATAGATTATAAATGTCTTTTATAAATAAATAAAAAAAAAAATATACAAAGATGCACTTTAATTGTAATATTTATTATTCTCTACATGTTAAAATATATATATATATATATATTGTGATAATCTTATAAAAAACAGCATTACAAAAATACTTTTTGATTGAGAGATATATGTGCGATGTGTCTCATATCAATAAATTATGTTATGTCATCGTGTAGTATACCTACATAATATTATTAGGCGTGCGAGATGCACATAAAGGTGCAGCAAAGTATGCGCTTATTGCCTCCGGAAGAGCCGTTCAAGACAGGTCAAAAAAGACTAAGGCTACCTTCCTCATGGATTGAAAAGTCAATGAATTTTATTAGAAATATATAATATACACTATATATGCATATAAAATGTTAACAATTAAATTAGAAAAAAATAATTATGTTTTTATTCTATGATTAAACTACTCAAAATATTTACATATTAAATTTTAAATAATTATTTTAGGCATAAATTATATAAAATCATATGGTATTGAAGATAATAGAGGTAGAACGTAAACGATTAATAACTATAATTATGATATAATTTTAAATTGCATTGAACCGATTTGAACCGGTTAATTAGTAAATCAGATTCGCCTGAATATATTTAATATCCATATAGTATTAAATCAATAATATGTATTCAAGATTAATAATACAAGTATAATACATCATAATAGTTGTATTATAAGATGTAATATTTATTTTATATATGATATAAGGTTTAAATTATAACTAAATGATATTGTGAGCTGTTTGTATGTTTATGAAACAATAGGTTCGTAAAAATGTATGTTGCATCACTTGCATCTGACTTGAAATAACTCTGCACATGTCTAAGTGTTGTTATTGTTAGGTATAATTATATATATATATATATATATATATATAGTGTTATAATAATTGAGTGGGGTGACAGTGGGTTACTTCTATCCTTTATTCGAACTTTAAATTATTAGAACTGCCTTCTCCTAAATTAATAAACTAGAAATATATTATCATAATAGTAAGAAAAGGGTATATATTCAATAATGAATCTTTTAGTTACGTAATATTTGTAAATTAAAACAACTAAAATAAAATTATTTTTTTTTATTTTAACAAAAAATTTATCATCTGTTCTCTTGAGCACAATAATAATATATGATATCATATTTTGTACATGAAAATATGAGGGAAGAAGTCATCCAGTGAAAGCACTACCTATTTGTTTATTATTAATTAATTAATTTTTTTTTTTTAATAAATTAAAATTTACTAAAATTTAAATAAAAATATTAATAAAATGTATTTATTAAAATCCCTTTGTTTTATAAATCTCGACACCAACTTCTTTTCAGTTGTCGTGAGAGATTACCTGGGATTGTGCGAGAAGCTAAATTGAATATAAGGGAATTAGGATGATATGGAAGTATGTTATTGAATCTTTTGTAAAATGTTACCGCTTTAGCGTGAACATTTATAATATTTAATTTTATGTGTAGAATGTAGTTGAAGACATATGGTGGGGTATTAATGATTAATCTTAAAATTTTTTTTTGAACGGTTTGGATTTTATTTATAATCGCATTATTAAATATATTTTTTGACAATGTATAAATTCAATGTAATGATACTGTAGTGATCATAATATAATAATTTAATAATGTTATAATAATAAATATTAACCAAAAATAATATTATTTAATTCTGGAAAACTCAAAATTTCAATTACTATTGTATATTATAATACTTGTTTGTGTTTTGGACACGGACACACTTAGTAACATTATTAAGTACAGTTTTCTAATAATTTATTTGTATAATATTTTTTAATTCGTAATTACCTTATCATAACTGTTTTTACTATGTGCACTACGTACATATTATTATTGCAGTCATGGTTGTTGGTGCCTGTGCAATATAATATACTGCTATCATATATATATATATATTTTTATGTCATTCGGACGGTTGACAAGCGTCGCGCGCAACGTATGCAAATTTGCCTCGTCGCAAACGCGAGTTTTTCCGCGACGTCCATGGCAATAAGCCGCTTCTCGCTGACGTTCGTCGTCTAATTACGGTTCTATTAAACATGACAGGATAAGCAGCTATCAGAATCAAATTTGTTGGTGTTCTAAACCTGTTAAAAAGTTTAATCGTGTCAATCATTGTTATAAGTAAAGTAAAGGATGATTATCAATTGAAATAATGAAAATATTTCATTAGTTTTATTCTTATCATTTATTATACACCTTGTTAGACATTTTTAATTTTTAAACTCATTAGTTATTTATCTACTAATATTTATACACTGAATTTATTTTTCGTAGTATCATAGTTATTATTGTTTTATGATATTAGTAAAATTGAATTATAATATATTCATCATAAAGTATTTTAAATATTATTTGGATAATAAAAAAAATCTTTATTTTTATGATTTGTAATGATTGTATCGTAAGGAAAAAATTAAAAAATTGGAGATTAAAAATTTTAAATTGCACTAATGGTTTACTCATAAATTATCCATGCTTGTATAAAACTTAAGCCCTAGAACCCTTGATATTGTCATTCGAATGCATACCATAAATAATACTAAATTCAGGAGATGTAAGTACTAAGCACTGTATGTGGATTGTGTATGGTTTAACGCATAAACGAATTTAGTCGCGCATTCATAATCATATTTGATCTCAATATTTATTTTAATCAATCGGCAATCGACAAGACAATTTTGGAATACCATTACATCGTCCCAGAACAATAATTATTGTATACAATAATATATTATGCAATGTATTTACGCTTGAGTTGTGATGAATTAACACTCGTTAACATAATTTTTTTAATAATAAAATTTAAATTTTTACAATCGTTTTTTTTTTTTTATTCGCTTATTAATGACAATAGTGGTAGATTTCAATTTTTATTTCATAATCTAAAGCAGATTATTAATTGATATTCGCAATACACAGTTCTACCGTACCCAATTACAAAAACACACATTTCAAGTAAATGCAAAATTAAATCGTAATGCAAAAATGCTAATTTTACGAACTGGGTGCGAATGACATATAGGATATAGCACAACAGCAACGAATATTGAAAATGTTGACGCATAAATATTAATAATTCAGAATCTATATCAGGATGATAAATATTAATGGGTGGAGGGATCAAGGAGTATCCGGTGAAATTTGTTTGACAAAAAACATACAGGATAATATATAATTTAACTGTGTTAATCCTAATTTGACGAAGAAAGAGCCCGTAGAAAAAAATATCGCAGAGAATCGTAAACGACTAGATTATTTTTCTCCAAAATGTAATGCGTTCCGCCGTAACAATAATAAAACTACGAGACCATTTTTTTTTCCACTGCAGGTAACTCAAAAACGTATCGACGAGTCGATCACTCTACGCTGCAATAGTATAATATATTTTAATCGTCGCAGCGGAAACGTTACACCAAACTCGCCGTTGCCGATATACCGCGCTCGCGATCCGTTCGCACCGCACCAGAAACCATCGCGCACATGTTCGACGCGTAATAATAACAAATATTACACATTAGTAACTACGACACGGCGTGTCGCGTCTCGCAGGAGTGCAGGTTGCTGCAGCTGCAGTTTGACGGCCGGCCAAGTTGTGCAGTAGTGTGAGGTTAGCCGATGTGGTATTCGGCTTGCTGGGCGGCGGTATGGCTCCGCCTGCAGGCACGTCGTCCATGTTGCGGTCCCGACGCCGCGACGCCACCCTCAAGCCGAACCGGACGCTGGACAGGAGCGCGTCCCGGGGAATGCTATATGAAAACGAGGAGCTCCGGTTGCGCACGATCAACATCAACGCCGAAGTCGAAAAAGGTAAATAATTATTATTATGCATCGGTTGAGCCAATGTTGTATAACACGTATGAAGTTATAGCGTCTAACGATATAGTATTACGTGTAGTGGTAGTACTGTTGTGTAGCACTTTTTTTGGTGGTAGGGAAAGTGGGTGGCAGGAATTAACTTTTAATATGAATTATGATTTATATTATACTTATTATAGTAACCAGATACGGATACAGAACAAAGATCTGGGGAGGGGGGCAAACAATTTTTTTATAGGTACTTTATTCATAAATTAAAATTTTTGTCATAATATTAGGTATAGGTAATCAATGTACTAATAAATAAATTGATGATTATATAATATTTATAAATAAAATAATAAAATCTAAATATCTATTTACATTTTTGTTCTTTCCGATATATATCCACCTTGTATAAAATATTATATTATCAGACGTATATGTGATTTGAAATATAGTAAATATCAGGATCTGTATAGAATTATAAAAAAAAATTGAGAAATAATATATTTGGGAGGAAGGCCTCTAGGCCCCTCTGGATCCGTCCCTGATTGTAACGTATTACAATTAATGCCCCTCAGTAGGTAGCTATAAATTAACAATAATTAAGTAAAAAGTATAAACAATATTCTTCCCAACTATGTATATCATTAAATAATTATTGTACTTACTTTTATGCAATTTGACACAGTTTTCTTTTACATCAAACAAAATGGAGTATTATAATTTTGAATTATAATATAATATATAAAAAAAAATAATAGTGATGATACATATTTTATGATAATAAGAATTTGGGCGGGAATTTATTACAAATGAGGTTAATAATTGTCGATAACAATGTAATATGGTCATGGATAAATAAACATCAATTATTTTTTTTTTTTTTTTGTCTTGACTTAATGTTCAGAAAATCTTATTATACAGTTTTACCTCTCGTACGGAATTAGCCCGCTTTCCACTATATGTATAAAAAAAACAATGAAAAATACGAGACATAAATAATCGACTGACTGTTTGACGAGCGCGTAAATGTAAGTATGTACCTAAGTATAATATATGTGTTAACTGATGTCTGAGTGTTTACAAAAATATAAAATAGATATAAGGAAATAATTGATATAATTTTATGAAGACACTTATAAGTTATAACCAACCGAGTTATAAAATATACTCGAGACTATCAAAATTGAATTAATAAAAAATAGCAATATTACAAGAATATTGATTTCAACGAACAACAGCATAATACTAAGATTAAATATAGATGAAAAAAAATTATGCAAACAACAGAATGAATAATACAAAATGAAATGATTTTTTACGCATCGGTAAGTCATATTCAATTTAAAATATGTTTAAAACCGTGAGTTTATAAAATACGACGACTACCTATTGATGAAAAAAAAAAAAAAAATGAAAATAATAATTAATACACCGATGAATACGAAAAATTCTAAGTACTTGAAGTGCATGTAATATATTATGATATGGTAATAATATTAATATCGTACAAAACGACGGCATTTCACAATATTATTGTTGGTAGCTGGTATTTAGCCGGTCGTATAAACCGCGGATCGCTCGTCGACAACCACTAACACTTTGAACTGCGTAGTGCTTGCGAATAATTAATGTGCCACGGCCATCAGAACATAATTTATGATGATAGTATAATATTCTGTTGATACAAACCACGGTTGTTTTCCGGAACCACGGTCGCGGTCGTCGCGAATAACACACATACTTCGATCGCAATTAATATTATTATTACAGGTGCGCTAGTATAGTTCCGGACGCGTGACGTGTGTTTTGTGGTAACGTGCCATGGCGCGAGACTACGTGCGAATTCGCGTCACGCGACATTTGTCGGTGGCATGGCGTTTGGCCGATTGGCCGTCAGGCGCTGCGAATGTACACATAATATATTATTATATTCGTGTGAACCGCAAAAAAACGTGTGATCGTTTGCCAAAATGCTCCTGAATGTGTCTCGAGCAATGACATTTTCATGTCCTCCGCCGCTTATGAGTAATCGTCGACGGTGACACGACAGTAAATACCACCGTCGTCGAAAATTAAAATAATTAACGCGCGACGCCGTATAAAAAAAAAAATAGTCGATTGTGTGCCGGAGACGGCAAATGAGCTATTTCAGTTGCGTGCGACGTGTGCGACACGATCCGCAGTCGAGGACCAAGGAAAACAATTGTCATGCCGGAAAATTTTGTTCGTCGAGGACACGTTTTTGGCAAATATCTTCGAGTTATCTTTCTGCGCGTAATTTGGAAAAGGGATTGAGTTTTAGAATAGTAATTTAAGCTTTTTAAAAATTATGTGACCTAATATCTTTCCATAGTGTGTTTTTTAATATACATAGCAATTAACGATTAATTGTTATGTAAGCTTTTAAAGTTAAAACTCTCAATATTTGGCTGTAGTGGGCATATTAGACTATATAAAAGTAATCACTAATTATTTCATTTATTATTTTTTAAATAAGCTAGAGCAGTGGGTTTCTCTCTAGACTGATTTTGTGTTTTTAAACGAGCCACGAATAATATTTTTGTCATGTCCTTAATGCCTCAGATAGCGCTTCTATTGGTACGATAATAATTAAATGTTATTACGGTTCTCATTAATTACACAGAAAGACCTAATAAATAAAAACGAAAAATTAATATAAATTAAATATATGAACATTTTATAAATAATAAATACTTTACTCATATCTAAATATTTTCAAAATAATATTTTGAAAAAATGTATTACGTTTCAAATGAATTTACTCAAAAATAATATTGATTTTTTTTTTTTTAATTATAAAAAATAAACTACTATTGACCTAAATAATCATTTTTATATTCATATATTTTTAAAAATTAGGTAAAAAAATTGGCTATTTTAAATTGTTTCCTAAAAAATGTAATCAAATTTTAATTTTTTAATTTTCTGTATTAAAAAAAAATAATAATAATAATAATAAAGTATTAATTAGAACACGAGTTATTTTATTTATCTGAGTTTTTGTTACTAAACTGTTTCCCATAGAAAAAAAGACTATCACGAAAATAACCTACTTATAAGCTAGCACTTTATATATTAGATAAAATATATCAATACTTTCGTGTACATTTATCTGATTAAGCTAGTATTTTTCCAATCGTTGATTGTCCGTTGTAGCGAGCGAGTGGAAAAAAAGCAATTTTCCAACAATTTAACCACGGTATCAAAAAAAAAAAAAAAAAAAAATAAAACTTTTGGTGAAGGCGTAACAAAAAAATAAAAAAATATAATTTAAAAAATGTGTCATACGCATACCCGTAATGCCGATCAAATCCCTATACGAATATTAAATCCTCGTAAAAATGTGATTTCGAGAAATGTTATGGCGAGGGATGAGATACCCTCAGTCAGTGATGTAATATCAGGTTTCTTAAAGGAGGGAAATATCGTAACCAGCACTTATAAAGAAATCGAATTTTGTTTAGTAGTAATTTTTTTGTCTCTTTTTATTTATTAAAAATGTATTGCTATATCGATTTAGATATTTAAAAACAATTGAAATCTTTGATTACTATAAACAAGTTAAAATGACAAAGTAATATAGGTAGTTAATGTGGAATTATAAAAATATATAAATTCATAATATTTATAAAAATATACCATTTCTAGTAATAACAATTATAACAGCAGAAATACATAAAATGTATATTAAGTTAAGTAACATACAATAAATCCATAAGCCAAATAAAAAGACATGATAGAAAAAATTTAAATATACGTTTGAACGTCGCGTTGCGTTTTTGTGAAAATAAAAGCTTTTTTGTTCGTACTAATTGCACGTATTTACTCATGAGTCATGACCATAATATCATTATAATTATAATACATGGATCAAGGACAAGGGGTGAAAACGGTACAAACTTGATGGACGTCACATTTTTTTTTTTAAATATTATTCAAGTATTACCTTTTTCTAACCCGAATGTAATCCGAAAAAAAATAAAGCAACTTAGCTTTATCCCTGGAAAAATGGTTATCTGATATTTTGAAGAGGGAGATAAGCCAGTTAGCCCTTCTGTATAGATCTATGTACTGTAAGTACAGTTAAATTAAAATAAATAAATAAATAGCTTGAAGAATTTCACTTTTTCCAATATTATATATATGAAATCTATTTTATCAAATATCAGTTAACGGTGACGGTTGTAAGATTTATTTATATTTTTAATACCTAACGTGTATTTGTTTATTTTAATTATCGATCTAATAATGCAGCAAAAATGATAGTCTACTTTTATATTATATATGCAGGCAACACAAAATAAAATTATTTATTATTATTTACAATTTTTGATTTAAGTTTATAGTATTAAAAAATAAATTTATAACTATGGTTTTTCTTTATCAAGTGCATGTTGGAGTAAGGCTAGGCTAGAAAATATTCTTATTTCTTTAGTGTATTTTGGTTAAAATTTGATTGTAAGTTTTTCTTGCATGTGCCTTATATAGTGCCCGGTATTCTTGGGTGATGACTGATGAGGAATTAATTAGATTTGTCAGTCGTATTCTGATTTCTGACTTTTGTGAAATACAAAAATAAGTATTTAAATTTTTATCTCTACATAAGTTACATCGTATAATAACGTCATTACAATACTAAATCGATTGAGACATACATTAAGTTATCAACTAAAATAAATATTTATAAGCTCGATATCAAAATGATAATATTTGGTGTAATACGAACAATATCGTTTTTAAATTCAAGTATAGTTTTATAATTTTGATTTAAGTAAGGAGTGAAGTTCGACAAGGCCATTATCATTTAGACAATTAATTCACAATTTCCCTTCTATAGTTAGGTATCAAATATTAAAGATTGACTCATACTCATTGAAAAAAATACTGGTGCTTAGGCATTGATGTGGATGTCTCAGAACTGTTTCAGTCGTTTAAAAAAAATTATCTTAGCGTATTTTTGTAAAATTAACTGCGTATTACTTAAATTTCATAATTTATAGAAATAAGAATTCACAACCAAATATAGATGTACATCCAAGTGATAGACTTCATTTGGTGGGTACGGCAAGTCAATAAAAATAATAATTCAAAAAAAAAAAAAAACATTTCGAAACAATTTAAATGGTTACCGAGCTCAAATTCTAATAACCAATGTTACATGTTGCAGTTTCTGTAATTTATTTTTTTCATAAATACCATTCAATATCTCACAGACTACCGGCAAAATTACACTATTTCAACGACTTAATTTATCAGCAAGTTTAATTTGGAACTTACACAATACATGTACCTACATTACTACGTATAAAAATATTATGATAAAATATTAACATTAGAATTTATAAGCAAAACAACACTTGCGCAACTCAAATATTCAATATTTTGATTTCAGTTGTTAGCGTAATGCAACGACATAGTTATATTTTCCATACGACCATTAAAATGTATACGAGATGCACACATTAGCTCCACACATGCTACAACCCATGATATAAATAAGATCAAGTATCAACACAAGCATGATAATATTGTATATCACAATGAAGTTGAATATTTATAGCATTTATTAAAATTTCAAACAAATCCGTTGACATTTCGTTGCGTATATTTGCAATTATTAAAATATTATTACTTAATTATTTATTATCCTATGCACCAATATTTAAATAATAAGTATTGTTTTATAGTATTAGTTATTAAATGTATAATTTTATGAAAGTTTGTTCTCAATTTACAAGATATTTTTATTTCAAATATGATTAAAAAATTAATAAAATTTAAAATTAAAATTAAAATTAATTACATTTTTAATAATTAAAATACTATAGAAAACACTAAAAAATACATCATCACACAAATTATCACTTATTACTAGAACTAGATATTTAATTGAATTGTGGTATAATATATACATATATTGATAATAATATTATTACTATTAACTTCTAATCAAAGTTTATAATTTCTATACTCGCTAGTTAATATATCATGTAAACGTGCTATGCAAATAATCATGAAAGTACTTTATGTGATATTATACATTTTCATACAAATTAATATTATAAAAAATATTAATATATTTTATTTTATTATTATTTGTATTTCTTGAGCAATATAAATTTAATAACAACACGGCTTACAAATATCTGTCTACATTTATTACTTAGTTTGACCCAGTAGTCTCAAAATATATTATGTACTTACCTATACTGTATAGTATAGGAAAAATGTATGTACAAGGCAAATAATTTAGCAGAATTGTATAACCCACTCACTCAGTATCCAACGATTTCTTTGCATTCTTTTTATTAAAATTGCTAAAAGTCTGTATTCCGTGTGATGTTATACAACTTTTTGAAAAACTAAACTAAGCGAAATATTCACCACACGAACATTTTACGGTCTACCGGTTTTGGCACCATTGGTTAAACCTTAACTTTCCCAGTTGTAGAACTTGTAAAGGTTAAATAAAATCAATACAAATCGTAGAGAATATCATCACCATCAGTGTTTTAAATATTTATAAATTAAATAAATTAGGTTTAAGTTAACCTTCTAATAGTATATTTGATATCATATATCATTATAATATTATATTCAGCGGATACGTAACTTTGATGGGGTGACTCAGCCCCAGTATTTCATTCTGGTAGAAGGTGGGTGAATGAAGAATTATTAACAATATAAATATAACGTAGCTAAAAATATTTTTATAATTAAGGCAATATTGATGGAGTATAATAGTATATAATAAGCAATAGTATATAGGATGTTTGGAATAATATAATTATAATTGATAGCTACCGTGTGGTATTGATTAGACAATAATTATTATTTTAACAAGTTGAATGTATATTTTTTAAATTTATTTATACTTAATATTTATTTTTATACTTCGAAGAAGTTAGATTTTTGAAAACATCGTGGACTAAGGAAATATTATTATTTATGCTTATATAGTACCTACATGTTATCGTTGAAATAACACACACAAAAACACACACACACATATATAAATATAATTGAAAATGTATACAAGTACTTTAAAAATAAAATCAATCAACTGTAAAAAAATCATGGTTTCTCGCGTGGGTTGTTATTTGAGCGAGTTGAAAACATAATATAGCAGCTGTTTTGGTGGACGATATTTACTTTTAACGTTTGGATATTATTTAACTAAAAAAATCTATTTTTATTGAAAGAGTAAATCTGTAAAATAAAGATTATATGAATAAATATAAAACTAATTTAATATAACTCAACAGTATTAGAAATTATATAAACATGGTTTTTATTGCACAATATATTATACAAGAAATATATTTTTAATATTTTTGTGTACCAATAAATATATTAATATTCAAAAAAAAAAATATAAAATATTTCTCTGTTATGCACACGATATATATTAATTATTATTTAAAGCTTTTAAGCATACAATTTATTTTAGAATTTCACTAAAGAAATATAAAATTGTTCTAATAAATCTTTTTTTTACAGGCCAAAATTACATTAAAAAATTACGTCGGGAAAACGAACAACTAAAAAGGGAGATATGGAATTTAAGAGAAGAATACGAACGATTAGAAAATTATGTAAAAAGCCGAGAACAATCAGAAAACGAAGAGGTAAAGTTATAAATTTACAAACAAAATAATGTATTAAATGTAGAATAAAATAATTCAATTTTATCCTTTTAGTAATTTAACGAACACTCATAGAAGATTATTAATGAGTCAGTTCCATTTTATAGTTATAATTAGATATAAATATTAAATATTTTAACAATACGTATATTTACAGTTACCCTTATATTACCTATAAGAAAGTTTATAGAATTGTAAGATACTAGATACTATAGTTATAATGTTGGTACAATAATATGCTATACAATTTTAAACAATAATAATAATATAATAAAGTATAAGATAACTTAGTATATTAATATATTTTATTATCTATATTATAGGTTAAGTTATAATATGGTCTGATATTTTAAAATGTTATGTTCACAACTAAAATTAATTTATCCTACTATATTTTAATAATGGTAAAATAAATTACTTATTAGTTATTAGCAATATCATAAAACATAAAATATGCTTAGTAATATTAGCTGATGATCGTGGTCAGTAATTAAAAATTGTTATCTTAGCTATTAATACTTATATCTAATTATTGCGACAGATTTTTTTTCAAATTTCTTAATTTTTTTTTCTATATAACATTTATATATGTAGCTAAATGTATCTATAATAATATTAAGTTACAATACATGAAATAAAATATATTAATTATAAGTATTCGTGCAATAACGTGTACAATGGTGCAATTATGCATTATTTTTGTATTAAATTTAAGAAAGTATACATTAATAATGATAAAATTACATAAAATTCTTTTATATTTTCTATAAAAAAAAACTTTTTGAATTCTCGTGAGAGCTTTTTATCATTATATCCGTCTTGGTCGATCTTATTTCAAGCTCAAAAGCTATTTTTCTGTTAGTTACACAAAGTTTATTTATGCTACCATTATCTTCTTATACGAGCATTAAAATATGCACAGTAAAGTCATAATATTTTTTGAAAAATTAATAGTGAGATTCAGTTTACATTTCATTATTGAAATACTCTACAACAATAACGGCTTAATAGATCCTATGCTTTTAAATTCAAGATAAATATAATAATATAAATATATCATACTAATAAGCGTATACAATAGACACATAATAAATAAATAATTTAAAGTTAAAATTAAATATATTCATAATAGTTTTTTTTTTTTTTTACAGAATGAATATGATTTTATTTGTAATTATAGGTAATATTTATTTACAATTTACGTGATCGACTAATGGATAACTGGTTATAATTTATCAAAACATTAACTGATAATTAACCATTTATAAAATTTGATCTAGGTGAATGACGAGTTTTTTAAGTATAACACCTGCGCGATCGTCTACTTACGATGGTTATTTGATTTGTATTAACTCATATAATATTAATAAACGAATAATAAATTCTAAATAATATTTGCTTTAGATCATTATGATTTATGGTAGCTGGCAAAAATCTTATATATTTGTTTACACGTACAATATACATATACTTTTGATGCAATTAAAAAAAACTAACAAATTATTCAAACAAAGCCATTGATTCATTGTTTCAAATATAGATATGAGTCAATAACAACTAAATAATTAATTTGATGGATAAACCAATATTCGCTTTATTATATTTTTGATTGTAATAAAAAAATATGAGCCTAAACATTTTATAATTTAAAAATAAGTTATGTTTTTATTTATTAATAAACGTATGATTTATATATAATTACCTGGTTAAAACATTCTAACCTCTTGAAATAATATTAAATTAAGTTATTAATTTATTATTATATTATATAAATTTTGAACTTATTCTATAATAATAATAATGCTAAAATGTATATCAATACCTCATGTTACTTTTTAAATAAATATTTATATAATAATGATTGTTATTTAGTTTACTATAACTACTTACATAAATTATTATCTGTCCACTATTGCAGTATTCTTTGGAAGCAAACCTAATATAAATATATTATTCTAAATATTGTCTACATAAAAAACAATATTATAACAGTTTATCGATTATAATTAATGAATAAATTGCTTTTCATCAATTAAATATCTATTTAGATAGCAAATAAGTATATTTTAATGGTGAACATTGAATCATTATAAATACATGTAAATGTAATATTATTACATTAATCGATCTTTAAATTATATTTTCTTCGCGTTCTAAAACTTTGGATTTTAATATTATATAAAAATATACAGGTATGTGTGCGCTATCTAACGGTTTAAGTAATTTCATTTTTTTTTCTCTAAGATACAATAACAATGATACAAAGATAATATTTTTGAGTAAATGTGAAATTTTTACGTAGATCCGAAGTTAAAAAAAATATGCAGTACATCCTATTTGTGTGACCGAGTTAGTGATCATCAGTAACGATCGTCTGTCTTCTATTTTTAAAGAAATTACGAAATAGAATTCGTTAAAACAACACCTTAAATATTGAGTGTATAATCACCATTTTTTTCTTCAATAATACAGCTATTCGAAATCAGATTTTTTGAAAGTTTTAAATATTCTTAAGTCCCATAATTAAGAATTTTAAACTGTTTAAGGAATATCTAATGAAGATAAAAGTTTTTGTTTTTAAGCAGAGAACTTACTTTTCTACTTTAAATTATTTAGCCAATAATTTATTTGAAAATGTTAACGTATTAAAATATTACAATTCAAATGAGCAATTTTTGAGTTATCTAACTTAGTTTTTGAATTATTTAACTTAGTGTACCTACTTAAGATCAAATTTGTGCAGATAACGGATTCAGAAGATTTGGAGACCATGGTAATTTGAAATTTTTTGTAATTAATACTTAATTTATCAACAGCTATAATTTTTTAAATAGTCCAAGTATAATGCATACTAGATTTGGCATTAAATCTATTTTATATTTTTGCAAAATGGTTTTTAAAAATTATTATATTTAATATAAATATTTAAATAATTAAAAAAACTACTCGCTTAAATTTACAGTTAACGTTAACAATTCAAAAAAAAATTATTTATTTAATAATTCAAAGTAAAGTTTAGAAGCACTCAACTAAAAAATAAAAAATTTTTATCATCACTTAACATTTTTAAGTAATAAGAAAATTTCAAGAATTTGGAAACATAATCACCAAAAAATATTTTTAAAAATTCCGAGAACTTGAATTTGAATAAAACAATTTTTTATACAAAAAATGGAAATGAGCATGCTTAGTGATTCATTCTGTATGTACATTGTATACATGTAAAAAATTTTACGTCATTAAAGCACTGTTGTAGGCTTTGCGCGTCAAACACTGCTCTCATATATTAAAGACATCTTAAGTATAACATTGGTATTTACAAAAAAGTCTGCTACATGCTCTTGGAAAACTTTTAAGTAATAATACATAAAATCCACTCAAAACGACGTCCCCTCCGGTTCTTCTATTTAATAAAATAAACACTGTATCAATAATATTAAGACGAACTGCGTTTTATTATGTCAGTCTAATAATGTTCGCGAGAGATACAGTCTCGTGCGTACATTGCATATCATGATATTACATACTATAACTTGTGATAACTTCTCTTTAATGTTTACTCAATTACGTTTACGTTATAAACACAGAGATTTCTACATTGTATATGAACAACCAACCTATAAAATGAACTTATTACTTTATGGTTTATACGCAATCACGGCAGATGACGAACAGCGACTGTATTGGACTAATGAGAACACGCCACTGTGAAATATAAATTGTATGTAATAGGTAGTAGGTACCATAATATAAGTTAATATACTAGCTATTACGTATAGTATAATTTTAATTTATTAACTAATATATCATAATACAATACGTATAACTTGATTTGTATTCAACCATAGGCACAAATTTAATATAATAGTTAAGTATTAGTAGGGGGCGTATATGACAACCATTTTATTTGACCGCATCCTCCTTACCTTTGCCTACCCTAGCTTTCCACAATATCATCGAGAAAAAAATCTATATTTTTCCACATTTGGTTAAAAATTATAATTTCTGATAAAAAAAAAATAAAAAAAATGCTTTATGAATAATGTATGATAATAAAAAATACACAGTACATTTTTTTGAAAATTTGAAATTACCAACCAACACGCTTACCCATTTGTTTGAGTATAAATATCAAAAACATAATAATCTCAGCCCAATAATACATTACAATCCATTTGTATATTTTATATATTAAATCGTCGAACATGAAAATGTAATGAACATATTTCATTGAATAACAAGAATTTTCTTATTTGGAATAATCACTTAAAATAAATAATAATTATACATCTAAAATTATTAATTATTATTACCTATTATATTATACCAAAAATTGTAAGCTAGTATTTTATGACCTTTAATAGATCCATAGTTAGATGCCCGTCATCTAAAGTAGTCATTATCTTATTGTGAAAATTGTGATCTCATAAACAAGTAATATATTATATTAATATTATTTTTTGTTATTAATATCAAAAAATTTTTAAAAATCAAAGTTATTTACAGGGACTTTGGTAGCGATGAAGAAATATGACCACAGAAAAATTAAAACCTATGTTATATAATCGTGTAATAAATTATTATAGTGAAATAAATTCTGATATACCGAAAAATATAGTTAAATTATATAGTATGCGGTGGTGGATGTTACAGGAATACGAAGAAGAGGACGACAACGACAACGATGATAACGATGACGCTGAAGTAGTGACCACAGTAGAACCAACGGAAGTTGCAACCGATACGACCGCAGCAGTGACTATGTTGGAGACTGTGGTCGAAGAAGACGACGACGATAATGATGATCAGGAACTTATCCAGCAACCTGAAAGTCACGAGTTCATAACTGTTAACGGCGAAAACATCAAACCACAGGATTCAAACCCTACGGTAGGATGTCATAGATGTATTGAGAATTATCGCCTTAAAATAGCAACCTAAATTATAAACTAAAATATAATTTTACTATATATTTTCCTGGTCATATGGCTTGCATGTTTCACCGTGTTTTTCTATGCTAATAACTTTATTCTAATCAAATAATGTTGTTTCGGTGGTTTTGAATTTCTATTAATGATTAAAGTTGAAAAATTAATATAGTTTATTCTTTTTTAATACTTCGAAAGTTAAATTACCATAATTTTTATTAAGTAATTTAGAAATACCTATAAACACTTTAAAGTTTAGTCAAAAAGTGGTTAAATAAAAGTATATAATAATAAAATTTTAATATAGGAGAAAGAACAAACTAGAAGCTTTGTTTTTAAAAATAAATAATATGCTTAAATTAAATCTAATAGGTTAATAAACAAAATAAATAGGTATATAAAAGAGAAATATGATTAGTATGTGTATACGAAAAAAAAACAACAGTTGATTATTTTTAGTAACAATATAATGCTGTAATAATAATATTATAGAAAATTAGTTTAGTAATCATATTTAGTAGATCAGTGGAGAAATCAATGTCAGAGTAGTTTTTCATAGGGACCTTAGCTTTAGGAAAATTTGATTTTTTTGAAAAATTAGAATTATATGATAGCTGATGGAACATTGAAAAAATAAGAGAGATCTGTAATGATGTTGAAAGATTTTATTCTAGATGTTTAAAAAATATGAAAAGTCAATATAGCTAATGATTATTATGATACACCAATGATATATCCACCGCTTTACGCAAATGGACAAGTCCAATTGTATAAAAATTGGACCGTAACTGTAAAGTGATACAAAAGAAATTTAGTATAAAAGCTATACGATTCTAAACTCATTTAATTGACACGTATTTTAAATTAGAGTAATGGTTTCAAATGATGGAACTATACTCCAAAATAGATATTATTTATTAAAGATCAGTACAAATATTTTAAAATAAACATGTTATTAATATTTGCATTAAAATAACGAAAAATATATGTAACAATTTACACAACTTTGAACTGTTTAATGTTTCCACTATAATTTCCTACCAACCTGACATTATAAAATTACCATTTATACAATATTATTTTCATGAAATTATTTTATTCCAATATATCGACTTTTTAAGAAGAAAATATTCTAAATATATACATGAATACGTTTCATTTTACGAAAAAAATGTTATTACTTACTCTTTTTAATTTTTTCAAATTAAAAAATATCAAAAGTATGAAAAATGTATGTGGCAAAAAAGAAAAATTTTCTGTAGAAATATCGGCAAATAGATAATTCACATTAAAAAATCGCAGAATAATTTATAGTTATTTAATATAATATAGTAAGTTATAATAAATTATGTCAACTAATAGATTAAACTATCTTTATTCTTTATGTTCACGAACGTTAAAATAACAATAAACAGACATTTTAAATAAAATGTAAATACAAATAATTATTCAAGTGTCCGCAGTTAACACTTTAATGTATTCTTAAATAACTGCAATTGATAAAATTAACTCAACAGACTTAAATATATTTTGAATTTCCTTGTAAGCTTCAAATAGTCAATCTATTAGCACTGTTTCTCGTAAAATGTTTTGCTCGTTTCCAGGCATTCATTTTAAAGAGATAAACGCAATGTTTGTTGACTGAAATAAAAACCAAATTTCAAATGTTATTTAATCTTAATCTAAAATCATTGTTATAAATTATTACGAAAATAAAAATAAATGAGAAATTTTTGATCATTTCATTCAGATTCCAAAAAAAGAAAAATAGTCATTAAATATTATAGTTATATTTGTCCCAATGTCTTTTATTTCAGTTTAAATTTTATAAGTGTATTTAAGATTATTATAATACTATATGGTGTACTCAGAATACGGTATACTCGTAAATAGAAAATTGATCGTAATATAGTATTATTATTATTATTAGCACTCGTCAATTGGTATTTTTTTTTTTTATCAAAACGTAAACGAATTACTTTTTTACTAGCATATATATATATATATATATATCATATAACCAAACATACATATATTTGTCGAAATGCCAAATACTTCCCACAATTTTCGACAGGAGTGGATACATCGAATCCGGAATGCTCGGAATGAGGGGATCGTACTGGCGAGGAATGTTTATGCCGTTATCCTTTCCGGCTGATTCTGTTTTACGAGCACCATCGTTTTCTTTTTAGCTCGTGTGTATTTATAGTCGCCCCCATGGAGATGAAGACGAAGACGACGGTGACCGAATCTGTTTAGATTTCTGAGCATGTTCAGGCGAACATGGAAAAAACGCGCTTAAACTCTGAGAGTCGCAACTAAGAGCATGTATGCGTTAGCTTATATATTTATAATACATTATTTAGCACATAATGTTTTGAATTTTGATATCATATCTTGATACATGATATCTTAAGTGTTATACACGGCGAGCGTAAAGGATCTATTCGTGATACGTTTCTGTCATTGTCCAAGGATGAGTTATGTATGAATGTGAGATACTGCAGTGATCAATTAGGACTACGGTTAACTATAATTGATTATGCGTGATCTGCCAAGAAGAAAAATATGACATTATTAACCTCTAACTGCAAAATGTTTAAATCTCATACATTGTGAGAAAATATTTGACAAATGTTTATATAAAAAATTGTTGAAGTGAATATTAAGTGTATCTATGCAAAGATTTATTTTTATTAAATTCAATTATGTAAGATTGAACGATCAAATAAAAAAATATTTCCGGGTGCCGCATGAAATTTGGCCAACGTTCCACCTTTGGCATATATATGTCACAGGTTTACCACCTCTGAACATAATAATTTGTGACATTATGACCTATACAATTTTTAACACATACCTACATCCTACATATTTGACTAAATATTAATAGTTTTTAAATAAACCGTTTAATATCCGCTATATATAAAGAAATGGTGTCATAGTGACACTTCGGAATTATATCTGTATTAAATCTAACAAAACAAAGAGCTCTAAGATTTTTTTTTACCTTTTTTTAAAAGGTTGATATTATTTCATTTTATCCCCGTGTTAGATCACGAGTACAGATTTTTTAGATCATAGGTGTTACGAAATTAGTGTTCGTTATGGTACAACAATTAATTTAACATTCGTTTTTAGGTGGTCGAGTTGATAAGGTTGTAAGAAGGTACACAGCTTAGGGCGTTTCACGGTGAATTGACAATAATTTTTGTTCTATTGAACATTTTCAACTTTTTTTTTTTAATTATCAATTATCATCTGCGCTATGTTTAAATTAATTTTTAAATATTTTTCTTAAATTTTATATGCAAAATTAAGAAATTAAAAATTCTCTTATTTGATATTTAAAAAAATTAAAGTAGTAATTTTGTTGATATAATTATAAAAAATATAATACTTAAGAGGCCAAGTTTCGGCCGGTATTCCTGCAGCCACTATATTTTTGAAAACAAAGTTCTTACCTCAAACTTTTTTTTTCATTGGTTGTCTATTACGGGTATATTGACCAGAAGAAGTAAACTAGTTAAGTTACACTTGTTGCGAAATTTTAATGTTATCATATCTAAAATCATATTATGCACTTACATATTGGTACTAATGGTACTGCAGAAGACTTGCGTGTAAATATCAAGTATAAACACAATGAAGCGATACAAGATTAGAAAAACTATTTCCAAAAAAACGTACATAGACCAAATTATTGATTACGACGTAACCCATAATAACGCCCTACCTTGAGTTATTAATCTAACTAAGCGATCCAAATTGATGAAACGAGTATTTTCCTACTAGAAAATCTATACGGCGATAAAAAGAAAAACATACCCAATGGTTACAATTAAGAGCAATGGCTATATTGATTTTGATAATCATCTGATAACCACTAAAATTACCATTTGAGAATTAATTTATATATCACAAATAACTTTGCATTTTTCGATAAAAATTAAATAACCCCGCACACCTACCAACACACCACTGTGAATCATCACAGTCATCATACGTGCAATAATACGTATAACGCGAGATGACAATATGCAGCTAAGTCTGGAACGACGGTGCGCCCGGACGGTGGCAGTCTAAGATTAGAATTCGGCGGCCTACCATGGAGGCGGCGTCATCGCTCGGAACGCACGTCCGGCCCGACAGCCGTCGCGGATGACGCGCGCGTCGCGCCGTCGCAGTAGCGCGAGCGGTCGGTGCAATATCATATTTTTAATAATATCATAATATCGGCATCGCCGTTGTCTGCACGTTACCGCTTCGTATAACATATAGTTTAAATGCATGTGCAATAATAACGATAATGCGTAATATTTTAACACGACAATAGCGTACATCACGTTCGTCGCGAACCATCGGGATATCTGCTCGAGGAGCAGCTTGCCGTGCGTCTGCGTATAGTGGACGAGAAGAAAGTTATGTAAATAGATCGTTTTTCGCGGATAATATTTCATATGAAATCATCTCATACGTTGTATACGTCAAACACGAGATTACCATTTACACGACGACACGGCCCTGTCGCTGCAGCAAACGATCCGTACGGTAAGATTGTCAGTGTTTGCAGTGTAAATCTCTCAACACTCGTTGCAACCCACCAACAAATACTTATATATATTATAATAAATTATACATGTATATTGCGGTGTAATACGAACGGCCCGATACTTCCGAAATTCCTCCTGTCGTCGTTAGTACGTTACACACTTTGGCGTGTCAACGAGTATCCCGTTTGTCTGTATATTATTATTATTATTATTATTATTATTATTATTGTACGGTTTGGATTTGTTTTATTGGCTGCCGACGATCACACTGGCGCCAGCGCGGCACTTCTCATTTTTTTTTTTTTGTTCTCCGATTGCACGCCTTTAATAAAATGTATTATCACAATATCGAATGTACCTAACAGGCAGAATACCGCACGTGATACAATAACGCGGTCTGTCCATTGAC